ATACCGAGCTTGAGGATTTTGAGCTCAATCTCTGATTATACTAATTGTTGAAGTTTACTACTACAATGAGAATCCATGTTGACACTCCGTTTGTTTCATTGTTCTTGGAAGCTCGAATATTGTTTGTGTTTGTTCGGTTTGCTTAATCAAACAGGCTTTATTTCAAAATATGTTCAATTTAACAACTGATCACTCAACCCTTTGTAATGTGGATTCCGACCTTTTTTGTCCTCTAGCAGGAAAAATATTTACATCGATTCCTCTATTTTTGGGGGAAAAAAAAAAAACAAACAAACTGGTGTATATTAAGTATATATAGAACTAATGAATAAATAAAAATTTTATGGAATCATCATATGATTTTCTTATGGAACCATCCATCACTTAATGTATGGATAGTTTCTTAAAACGGTATGAATAAAACTAATGTGTATATATAAGTATTTTTTTTTGGTACAATGAACGCCTAGTGTTTAGTTGCACACGGCTCGCGTATAAGCTACGCCTAGAAAATCATGGTGGAGCCACTGACGAACTCCATCCAGCGGATCATGTAAAAAGTGATACCCCGTCAATCCATCCGCAGCGAAGGAAGCCAAATGGTCAGCCGCAAAATTCGCCTCCCGGAAAATATGTTTCACTTTGACGTTCCAAGGTCACCCGAGTAATTCTTTTATGCCCAATACAAGACCTATGTGCACCCCTGCTATATCATCATCCAGACCTGTCGTAAATCCCACGACACTCTCGTTATCCACTTCCGCTTCGACTTGCCGAAATCCAAGTTCCCAAGCCAACAGGAGCCCCTTATATAAACCCCATAATTCCACGGCCATTATCGAACAAGACCCGATTTTTATTAGAAAACCCCCTCGCCACTGCCCATACTCATCTCTTTGATCCATATCTCTTTCTTCATTTACATTAATTTCATAGTTCGAGCATTTCGGCTTCATCGTCCGTGGGAATGCTCAAATAGATTTAGACGCCGAACAGGCTGCTGTATCTACCCCTGACGATTACTAGAGTCGACTACCACGCCAGTGGCCGAACACTAGCTATCTAGAGTTAGGCAACACAAGTTGTATCATGACCGACGACAACTGTTTCCAAATAGATAATAAACTGACGAATAATTTGTTTCCAAAAAGATAAATTGACAAATAATAAATTCCCAAATCCTCAAAACTCAAAATATTTTACTCCTAGAAAAAACTCATTTCCTTTTCAATTCCAAGAACCTTATTTTATCTAAAATCCCCGTAATTGATGAAATACAAATCAAACCTGAATTTGATTACCACAAAATAGATAATAATATAAAACCCCAATTATGATAAAATTCTAATTCTACACAAATAAAAATCAAAATTAAAACAGATAACTAAAACCCCAATTCTGAAAATAAAAAAAAAAAAATATTCTAATTCTACACCAAAATCAAAATTCTAAAAAAACCCTAATAAACTACACTAACCTTATTTGTTGGCTTCACGGCAGAGAAATATGGTTTTTTAGATGGGGATTAAGATTAGAGTCCGCCATCTGCTGCCTGAGAGTTCCGTCGCCGACGAGTGATGGGTCCAGCCAAGCCCACAAATATAGAAAAAGGAAGCAAACAATTTTAACAAGCAACTTGAAGCAATTAATGAGCCGAAAATTGAGGCTGCTGTGGGAAGCAAAATTTGACAATTTGGAGCATTCATCATCTATAAATAGCACCCATTCCAAGTGCTGAAGGACACACCAAGCGAGAGAAAAAAGAAAGCAAGATAACAAGAATAATATTTATTGTGAGTATTATTTTTCAGTGAGAGAAAAATAGAGTGTTTGAGTCCTTACTGCTGTATTTATGTTAATGCACTTTTCAATGATACGTAGGCATTTCTGGTCCATTATAGAGAAGATATCTAATATATATTTTAGAAGAAATATCAATGATTTATCACTTAGAGGAGGAATAATAGGATTTTATTGCTACAAGTATGGATTATTGAAAATAATAAGACATGATTTTGGATATTTCTCTTCAACTAATCATGTCAAATAAAAAATATTGTGAGGTTGAGGGGAATTCTCAAGTGAGAAAATAGATTATGGGAGTGTGTGACTTGAACTATTGATTGGTCTGTGTAGATATATGTCTGCCACATTGGAATTCACAACCCAATGTGTCTTTGTTCCAACCACTGCGTAATCACTAGACAGAAGACAGAAGATAGGCTGGTTTGCTTGAAGAGAATCTTTTCTATGATCAGATCCGAATAAATCCTGTGAGTGTGGGAAAAATACACCGGGTCGGGTATCATCTCTATTACTCCTTGTTTGTAATATTTGTTTAGGAGTGGGGTCTCACCGGGACACTATATTTTACATTTCTAGTGTAAGGGAGTGTGAAAAGATATTGTAATTATCTTGAAAATATAGTGGAATTGTTCGGAGGTTGTCCCGTGGTTTTTTCCTCTAATTGGAGGTTTTTTCACGTTAAATCTTGGTGTCGTTTTTTCTTGCATATTTTATTTATTTGGGATATTCTTAGTATGCTCTGTGGTCGCAATTTAATCTGATCTTCCACATCAGAAAAGAATTATTCCTATTTTATTGCAAAAGATTTTCTTTTGTCATTCTTGAGTTGCTGAGATTATTATAATTATTCACCATTTTACTCCGGTATTTTAATTTACACCTTCCGCATTTACGCATCTGAGCCCAACAACGAGGACAGCTGTAAAACGACGGAGATGAGAAGAACGGGAGTGGGACAGGCTGTCGGAGAAGAACTCTGCCTAGTGTTCGAGAAGACCTTCTGTCATAAAGAATTTCGGCGACAGAGAAGTCCTTCTCTAGCGAAGAGAAAAGGCCGATGTGGGGGAGGGAGTGGGACGAGCTCTGTTATGTTCTTTTCAAATTTTTTATGCTTTCGCAATTTTTAATAGTTAATAATAATAATAATAATAATAATAATAATAATAATAATAATAGTATAATATATATGTGTAGTAATTGAGGAGGAGAGGAATAAACAATTGAGATAAAGAAAGGGCTGTATCGGAGAGTGCATACAAAAATAAAAAATAAAAAGAGACTAATCAGTAAGGGGCGATTGGATATAAATTGAATAGTAAAAAAAATCAATCAAAACTCAAATTTAACTCAACTTTAACTCAATCTCATTATCTTCAATATTACTAATATAATTAAATAATATCAACCAATCATTCTTACACATCAAATCAACTTTAATTCACTATTCATCCACTCATATAATTTTAACTAACCATCACTTCCAATCATTTTTCTCCTACTTTACATTAAATCAACTTTAATTATTTTATTTAAAAATTATTTTAATATATCCATTAACAACTAACCATACCTCTTTTTTCCAAAATTAACTATAGTTAAAAACAAATCAAATAAAAACTAATTGAATCCATAAACAATCACCCCTTAAATAGTTTTTATTATAATGCAAAAACTGCACTGGCCTATTGTAAAAGATTAATGTTTTTTTCATCGACGGTCATGAGACGTTGTTAGCTCATTTCAATGACATACTTATATTTTCTCTTTTTAAATTCACCAGTTGGATCTTTGATCAAGCATAATAAGTCAACGAATAGAAGCGAAGGTATTCGCTAAAAGTTCCCATTAGCCCTGTATCAAGTAGCGCACACTTTTAAGCAAAGCCGTTTAATCTTTAATGTTATAAGTACTGACACGGCAATTGCTAATGCTTGTCTACCTTCTATAAATTAGTTTAGAAACAGAACTATTATCACAATGGAAATGATAATAATAATAATAATAATAGCGATTGTCCTTCTCATGCCCGCCGTCATCCTCCTGGAAGCTGGTTGATGAGAGGGAGAGGATGGGTGTAGCGGTCAGGAAGCTGGTTCCCTTAAAGGCTATACCGAGCAAATATATGAATGAATGAATAGAACACAGTGACCTTAATATTCTCTCTTCCTGGAATGTTTAGAAATTTTAAAATAAATAAGCCGTAATTGGGGACATGCCCAGGCTGTTGTGTTTTAGTTTGTCTAAAGATATTGACCACGTGTGGTGGAAGTGTTGTGGGGTACTTGTTGAAGATAGAACTGAGAGAAATTTCATTTTATAGTTTCTAATTATAGTACATTCTGTTAAAGAAATAAAAAAAAATATATATATGTATAGAATTAAAATGGAGAAATTACACTGTCCAGAACAATATTGCTCAGTAAGTTGAAATTGTTTAGACCGCCCAACTTGGAGAAATTGAGACAACTATCATACTTAACAAGAGAAATGCATATCTCAAGTCATCGACAAATCAAGAAGACGACAATATCTCGTGGCCAAATTAAGTAAATCAGATATCAGATGTGAGGTAAAGGTTGAAAGAGGAGAAGAAAAGGGCGAGAAAGAGAGATGAACAACAATGCATCGATTCTGAATAATGAGAAGTGAAAAATAAGGTTTACATTACTTTGTATTATGCTATTTACCTACTATAATTCTAAAGTTGCTACAACTAATCCAATGACAACTTTACATAAAATTGTAATGTACTAATACAAAATTACATTAGTGCCCTTCCACAAGCAGAGTATGTTCAGTGTGCAAGTGAAGTTTGGATTGAAGATGGAAAAGTAGAGGTTTTGGCAAAACTTTGGTGAACATATATGCAGGCTGCTCATTGGTAGGTATATAGTTCAGAGTTATTATCCCAGGCCTAAGGAAAAAGTTGTATATATCTGATGAAAGTTACCAGCAAAAGAACTTGTATTATTAGCCTTTTATTTTCCTTTCCAATCGTCCATCAAATAAATTCATGGTAAAATCAGATTACACTCTTGAATGTTCTAAAGCTGTAACATTTTGCACAAACAGTAATATGTTTTACCAGGACGCCACCAAATGCTAGGGAAGGACTAAAATTTTAAAGCTTATGTTAGACCTTCAAGTATCTTTTGGGCTTTAGTACTTTAAGCCTCCAGTTTTAAGATTAGGCAGTATCAGCCCCAGATCAAATTTACTTCTAGTCGAAAGATTATATACTCTTATTGAACTTGCATCTGTGATGTGGTTATGGTTGAAATGATATTTCAAGGCAATTTCGGGATAAAAATAATGTCGAATCAGGGACTTATTAACCGAATTCGGACCCACTTGGATTTGTACGTAGGACCAAAATGTGGTCGACCTTATATTTACGCGACCAAAATTTCGGGATAAAAATAAGGGTCGTGCACCATTTTTCCCTTGTTCATCCGGATAGGATTTTGGCTGTTGTAACACTCGGGTGTTCCATTCCTTCTCGTTGATTCAAACTCATTCCAGAGATTTCACCTCCCTAATGGTTTCTACATGCTTAGATGGCAGGCAAATTCCCGCTTTGATCTTTAAGTTTCCGTTTGTTTTTTTGGCCTTTCTTTGTCTTGGTCTGATTTGGATTAAGAGTGGCATGAGATTATAAATCTATCAAAACTGGGATTGACATAAAAATGTATGTCATTTGAAGTAGAGAAAATTCCTATCCAATCTCCGTGCCAATACATTCAAATATATTTCACTATTTATATACAAAAATGCCAACAAACAGAAGGTATATAATAAGAAACTTTATAAATTGATAATTTCTTTCAGTTGTACCTACAACAAGTACTCCACAACACTTACATCACATGCCAATATATATCTTTAAACAAATTTTATAACATAACAGCCTGGGCATGCCCCCAATTACCATCAAGGGTTTATTTATTTAAATTTTCTAAACATTATAGGAAATGAAAATATTAAGGTCTGTGTGCTTTAGTCATTCATTTATATTTTTTTATATTTAGGCGGAACACTTGCTTGGTATAGCCTTTAAGGGAACCAACTTACTGACCCCCACGCCCATCCTCTCCCTCTCATCCACCAGCCCGACCCATCCCGGCCCGTCCACCCGCCACTCGAACTCGTGCAGCAACGACCCCAGCACAAGGTGAAGCATCTGGTGGGCCAGAGGGATCCCGGCGCAAATCCTCCGCCCGGCCCCAAAAGGTAACAGCTCGAAATTCTGCCCTTTATAGTCGACTCTCGACCCAAGGAACCTCTCGGGCCTGAACGACATGGGCTCGTCCCAGCACTCCGGGTCCCGCCCTATGGCCCACACGTTCACCAACACTTGGGCCCCTCAGGGAATTCGGTGGCCCATAAAAACTGTTTCTTGGACCGCTCGTCGAGGGATCAGCAGCGGGACCACCGGGTGCAGCCTCATGGTCTCCTTTACCACGGCTTGCAGGTAGGGCAGGCTATCCACGTGTCGCTCCTCGAATTTGTCTCCCTTGTTCCCGACCACCGCGCGAAGCTCGTCTCGGACTTTGGTCATGGCTTGTGGATGCTTGAGTAGCTCGACCATGGCCCACTCGAGCGTGCTGCTCGTTGTTTCTGTTCCGGCCATGAACAACTCCTGAAAATAACGGTCTCACACGTGAGGCGATCTCAATTTTTACGTCGTACGGAAAAAACAAAAGTTTGTTGGAAGTCGAAAAGGAAAAGAAATGGAAATCAGTTTCTATGAGTACTCATAACGGAATCGAAACCGAATCAAAGAATTTGGGTTTGTGGATTTTCGCTTTAAGATTTTCATTTTAAATTACTAGTTTATGTAACATAAAAGATATCCGGTTCGATTCGACGAACTGACTTTGTTTGCTTCAAGTCGAACGGAAAACAAAAATATTATTATAAAAATAAAAAATAAAACAAACCAAACCGCATCAAATTGATTGGTTCAACTCGGTTTTTCAGTGGTTAGCTGGGTTTTGCTCGACGTAGCGAACTTTGAATAGATTGTCGTGCACGGTATATCTTGTCGCCACTTACCAAGACAATTACATTGATGTTGTGGTCGGAAATTTGACCCATCTCCCCCTCTCCATTCCTCCGGTGCTCAAGCAACACTTGGAGAAAATCCCTCTTCCCCTCCACACCCATCGACGACCTCTCTCTCAACCTCTCGGCCACAAGACCCCCGACAATCCCCAACATCTTCTTGAACCCACGCTTCGCCTTCCGCTTCAACCCTTGTGGGTCGGCCCACCATAGCCACGGGAATGCGTCCACCACGTTCGGTTGGGCCGACAACTCTATTGCCTCCAACAAGGCCTCGAAGAACTCGGATGCCTCATCAGTCTCCGGGCCCGCCAGGTCCCTCGACAACACCAAATTCCCGATCATGTTGAACAACGCTAGGAACACCAACTTCGCCACGTGTACGGGCCGCCCGGGCCCGGCCTCCCTCTCGATCCACCTCAGCATGTCATCCACGCACCGCCGCCTGACGGGCCCCGTCTTGCCGATCCGCCCCTGGGTCAGCAAATCCACGGTCATGATCCGTTTCATTGTGCGCCAATAGGGCCCGTAGGGGGAGAGCGAGATGGAGGCCCGCTCAAAGCCCGTGGCCCGCATCACGTCCGTGATGGCCCGTTCGGAAAAGCCCGCGTCGTGCTTCTTGAACAGCTCGGTCGCTGACCGGGCGTCGAGGAGGGCCACGGTCTGGATCGACCCGATTCTTAGCGAGACGACGGGCCCGTAGGCCTTTTTCAGCCCGGCTATGGTTTTGTGGGGCTCCGGCCCGAGCTCGAACATGTTGCCGAAAATGGGCCATCCGGGCGGGCCCGGAGGGAGGCTGGTGGCGGCTGAAGGGTGGCTCTGTCGGCGGAGGAGGAGGAGGACGGCGGGCATGAGAAGGACAATGCAACACAAGAGAAATAGGAAGAGGAAATCAATTCTGGGGTATGGAAATAATGGAGACTGAGTGATAATATTTGTGTTTCTAAACTAATTTATAGAAGTTAGACAAGCATTTGCGATTGTGAAAAACGAACGAGTTTTTTATTCTTTAATCGATAGTTCGATCCATATCTAACGTTAAAAAAAACTCGGATAGCGTTGAAAAAAACTCGGATTGTGAAAAGTGAATTGTTAAACATCTTTGCCTTTTTACTACTTATCGCCCGTTGGACCGTTTTGTTTCTGAAAGTTTTCTAAAACATTTGACAAAAATCGCCTTTTTACTACTTATCGCCTCCTTGGACCGTTTTGTTTCTGACAATTTTCCAAAACATTTGACAAAAACCGGCCGGCCGCGTGGACGACCGGTATCGCTATCAGGCCNTATTAGAATTTAAAAAAGATTAAGTTATAAATTAAAATTTACTATTATTATTATGTTGGAATTTAGAAATTATTTTGATTATCGTATAGAATTTATTATTATTATTATTATGTTAGAACCTAGAAATTATTATGTTATAAATTAGAATTGATTTTCTTGTAAAATTATTTTTTACATTATTTGAAATTTAATTAGTATTTGAAACAAATTTTTATTTCTAAAAAAAAGTATTATTTTAAAACTATAAATCTTTATATTACTTAATGTATATTTTTGTTAGTAGACAATAATTATAAATGTTACATTACTTTCTTTTATAGATAATTAATATTTTGTTTACAGATAATTAGTATAATGTTATATAACCTAATAATTTATGAGTTCTAACAATTGTATAAGAGAATCAATTATAATTTATAATATAATAATTTTTGAATTCTAACTATAAATAATAAACTATAAACATTCTAACATAATTTATATAATAAATAAAAATTTAATTAGCACAAAAAAATTTGCGCAGCCTACCCAACTGGCAATTGCGGCAGTGCACGGTTGCGGCCAGTTTCTCCGGCCGTAAGACTTTTTTTTTAACTTTTTATAAAAAAATGTCAGGAAAAAAATTGTCTAAAAAGGGAAGGTAAATAGTAACATTCTACAATAAATTAGATCGTAATT